TTATTATAGATACAAATATATATATATATATATAAAATTTATAATTTATATATTGTACTTAAGTTTCAATAAATGAGTCTTATAATGCATTTATTTATTACTTATTATTACTTATTTATATATTTATTACTTATTTTAAATTAATTTAAATTATATTTTTAAAAAACAGAAAAAAAGAGTACAATTATATAATTTTTATCTCGTATCAATACATGTAATAGTTATCAGCAACAACTATCAATTCTAATAAATTAAATTTAAACGTAAAAATTTATTATTAGGAATAATATTTTTATATAATCATTATTATATATCTAAAATTTGGAAAATAATAAAATTTTTTCAAAATAATTTATATTTAAATATTTGAATAATATCGATTTCAGATAAAAAGATCGATATATATTATATAATACAAATACATAATGTTTGGAAAGAATTAAGCAGTATTTTCATACATGTTGGCAATCGTGTATATCGTATATGCTGATTATTCCAGTATAAGAAGCAGAAATTTCGATCTCCAGTATATAAAAGTATCGATAAGAATGAGTGAGCCTCAATCGAAGAAAGTCAAGATGACGAGTTCATTAACACAATTAAAGGAAATTACAACAATTGTCGCTGATACTAGTGACTTCCAAGGTAATTAAATACAACTTTTAAATATATAATTTTAATATACATACGGTCAAAGGTGAAGGTGACTATAAAAGTATAGTAAGCGAAATTCAAATGGCGCACTTATAGTTTATCATTTAAATATTAAAAACTGAGAATTAAATGTTTTTTATTTAGTTATATTACAATATATTTATGTTATAAATATATATATGTATAAATATTATAATAAATTTTAAAATATTCATCGGAAAATTAACTGATATAAAGTTTAAATCACATACAAGAGTAGGGGAAATTATAAAATCTTCCGATCTTACGATTACATTTTTTTGTTAGAATATAACTTGCCAATTGTTTTTAAAATTAAAAAAAAAATTAACAAAAGAACATTAAATTCATTAACTATTGTTTTTATCATTTCAAATTTAAAAATTTTAAATTTATAATTTTATAGTAAATTATTTTATTCTGATTTTAATCTAAATTCTAAAGAATTTATAATATATATATATTATATATATATATATACATATACATATTTTACAAAATTCAAATTAATTATTTAAATTTAATATTTTTATTTAAAATGAAATATGTATTTCTGACTTGATTTATTTAGTTTTTTGTATTAATTTTAATTTCATTATAATTATTTTTATATTTTTACAAATTATTAAAATTCTTTTAATCTAATTAAATAGAGATAATCTTTTTTTTATCATATAATGTAATCATATAATGTAATTCATGAATAATATATGTAAGTATTACATGTACATATTTGTGCTTTGACCTATAGATGCTAGAGATGACCTTTAAAATATTCATGTATAGATATTATATTAAAATTTATTTGTTTGTATTAAATTTCATTATTTTATTCATATATTATTTATTTGTTATAAATAATTGTTATAATTATTATCATTATTATAATTTATTTTATTATTTTGCTTGATTTTTAAATTGTTTTTAGCTATGGAACAATTTAAGCCAATAGATGCAACTACAAATCCTTCTTTGATCCTTGCTGCAGCTAATCAAAAAAAATATATTCACTTAATAGATAAAGCTGTACAATATGGGAAAAAATCTGGATCGTAAGTATATATGTTATAATATTTATAATATATAATCAATAAAATAAAAATATGAATATTATAATAAATAATTTTAATGAAATATCTGATTATTATAAAATTAAAAATATATAATAATAACTTATATTAACTTTATTGTTTTTCTTATGCTAATATTAAAGTATGAAATGTTCTTATAATAATAAAGGAGAAATATATTAATTTTAATTTTTAAAGATTAGTATATAAAATTCTATATATAATTTCTAATTAATTACTATTATAATTAAGAAATATATAAAGATTATTTGTTTTAATAGATAGATTTTTAGATGTAAAATTTATAGTATGATAAAAGTTAATTTAAGAAATCATAGAAATTATAAGGAAAATATGATATACATGAACAAAATAATATATCAAGAAATGTAAAGAGATTAAATAAATCTATATGGAAATGTAGGAAAATCTATGAAGATTAGGAAAGAGTGGGAGAAATTGAAATTTATAGAAAAAAGAAAAATAAAAGGAAGTGTGTGAAATAAAAGGTATGAAAGAAAAAAAGTATTTGCTTGATATGATAAAAGTGGTAATAATTAATATGATAATTTTATGGTTTATGTAATTTTTTAATGAAAAAAAAATAAACTACTTATAAATTTATTTGTTTCAGTACTTTGACAGAACAAATTGAGGCAGCTCTAGACATCACATGTGTCCTTTTTGGTAAAGAAATTTTAAATATCATACCTGGTAGAGTTTCCACAGAAGTAGATGCTAGATTGTCTTTCAATAAAGATGCTAGTATTGAGAAAGCAAAAAAATTAATTGCTTTGTATGAAGAACTTGGTGTAAATAAAGATCGTGTGTTAATCAAGCTTGCTTCTACTTGGGAAAGTATTCAAGCAGCAAAGTGAGTCAAATATGTTTATAATTATTCAAAATTATATTACTATAATTCAAATGCAAACTAATGAAATTTTTTTGTACAGAGAATTGGAAGAAAAGTATGGAATTCATTGTAATTTAACACTTCTATTTTCTTTTCCTCAAGCAGTTGCATGTGCAGAAGCAGGTGTAACTCTTATATCACCATTTGTTGGTAGAATTCTTGATTGGTAAGTTTAAAATATTTTTTATAAATATTGTAATATTATAATATTTTTTATAAATATATGTAAATTTCAATATATTAAAATATATATAATTTTTATTTATGAAATTTATTTATTTATGAAAATATTCTTTAGGTATGTGGCAAATACAGATAAGAAATCTTATGAATCTAAAGAAGATCCAGGTGTTTTATCTGTAACAAAAATTTATAATTATTATAAAAAGTTTGGATATAAAACAGTTGTTATGGGTGCTTCATTTAGAAATATTGGTAAGTAAAATTATTTTAAAATTAAATTATTAATTTAATTAATAATTTGTTAAAAAAATAAATAAAAATTGTGAGAAAACTATGTTATTTTCTATTAAGGTGAAATTAAAGAACTAGCTGGTTGTGACTTTTTAACTATAAGTCCCAAATTATTGGAAGAATTAGAAAAGAGCAATGATGTAGTACGCAAAGTACTTACAGTAGAAGCAGCAAAGAAATCTGATCTTCAAAAGGTCAGTTTAAATGAAGCTGAATTTAGATGGCTTATGAATGAAGATCAAATGGCAACAGATAAGCTAAGCGAAGGTATTCGCAAATTTGCAGTAGATGTTCGTAAATTAGAAAAATTATTGCAAGAAAAAATACAATCCTAAATATAAGTAAAATATATCTATTTTAAATATCTATGTAACAAATGTTATATTGTAAATAACAAAATATAAAAAATAATTATTCCAATATAAATTTTTATTGTATAATATATTCCACTTTTTTATATGATGCATAAATAATGAATAAATTTAAATAGATATTATAATATTAAATATTATAATATTAAATAAAAATGAAATTTTAAGGAAATATAAAGAATTAGTTCTTATAAATGTAATTGGCAAATTAAAATTATATTGCTGATATGATATAATGACATAATATAGATTTTGATATAGTAATAAATAATAAATTATTTATATTATATTAGTATATTTTTGCATATAAAATATTTAATGTATAGGATACTTTGTTTATTTTGTATTTATTCATTGATATTTTTTTGATATGCTATACAGTTGACAAATAAATTTTATATACATATATAAAGTACATAATATTCAAATAATCTTATATGAAAATAGGATATTTCAAAAAACTAGAAAATTAAATATTTGTTTCTTTATAATCTTTGTTTTTTTATAAATATAATTTTAATAATTTTATAATTTAAAAACTAAATATAATATTTTATTTTATTCTTTATTATTTTAGATAATAAAAAATATAATAAAATTTGTTTTTATTGAAAAATGATATTTTAGTTTGGCAGATATAAAATTTTGTTATAAAACTATTTATATTTAAAATTATTATTATAATTATTACAAAATTAAACTAAATTTATTTTGTAAATGTTGATATATTTTATATTTTTTGATTAAGAATCTCTGAGTCGGAGAACAGAATCAAGAGCAAGGGTCAATCTAGTGTAATACATATATCAATGCTATGACAATATGATAAATTACATGTTGATATTGGCATATATAAATCGAACATATTAATCCATGTAGAATTGCTTTCTAAACTTTTATAATATTAAATAAAATAAAATAAACATAAAAGATAGAAAAAGAAAGTGAAAAAGATAAGATAAGAATTAACTATTAGCGCCATCTTTTGATTATAAAAAATATATCTTTAAAAGAAGAATAAAGTACAATAAAAATTGAGATTTAACGCCATTTTTTTTTAGAAAAATATTTTGGCTCTTTCTTTCTAAAAATAAATGTATGAAATGAATTGAATTTATTAATCTCGAATTAATCGAAATATTCATTTCGAAGAGAAATAGCATGATAATATTTAATATTTATGTTAAAAATTTTCTTTATATATTTTTAAGTGACTAAGTAATATATCAGATAAGTAAATAAATAAATATAATAATTATACTTATTATATATAAAATTTTGTAAAATGCCGAAGAAAAAGACAGGACAAAGACGAAAAGCTGAAAAACAAAAATTAAGACAAAAAGAAATTAGAACTGCGAAAGATCAATTAGATTTAGCTAAATTTCCTTGTAATGCAGTAATGGTAAGTAATTATATGTTTATTTTATAATGTATATTATAATGTATATAATGTATTTATTGATATAATTTATGATTACAAATAAATATAAATTTTAAAAAAGTATTTTTTAGGTTATAAATATATTACAGTAAATTCATCTAATAGTCTATTAATATATAAATATTAATTACTAATAAAATATTAAAAATATTAATTATATTAAACAATATATATGAATATATATTTTTGTCTGTGCTATATTATATTCTTATTTAATTTTTTAATTAATTTAATAAAGGAATGTGATAAATGTGGTAAAAAACAAAAAAGTAGAGCTTTTTGTTACTTTTGTCAAACTTTACAACGATTACCAATGTGTGCTCATTGTGGAAAAATAAAATGTATGCTCAAAACTGGAGATTGTGTTGTTCGTCATCCTGGAGTATTTACTATTGGTTTAGGTATGGTGGTAAGTAAATATATCTTATTTATAAGTAAAATAAATATTATAATAAATATAAATTATAAATATATAATGCCAAAAATATATGTAAATATATAATTAATATAATTAAATATAAATATATATAATTAATATAAATATTAAAGGGAGCTATATGTGATCATTGTGAAGCATGGGTCTGTCATGGAAGACGTTGCCTTACAACTCATGCATGTATGTGTCCATTAATAGATGCAATTTGTCAAGAATGTGAAAGAGGTGTATGGGATCATGGTGGTAGAATTTTTCGATGTTCATTTTGTAATTGTTTCCTTTGTGAAGATGATCAATTTGAACATCAAGCATCATGTCAAGTTTTGGAAGCAGAAAGTTTTAAATGTAAAAATAAAAAATATAATTATATATATGTATTTTATATATATTTATATTAATGCAATTATATTTGATTTGTTTCAAATAATTAATATTTTAAGGTCAATCATGCAATCGATTAGGACAATATTCTTGTTTAAGATGTAAAACATGTTATTGTGAAGATCATATTCGAAGAAAAGGATTTAAGTATGAAAAAAACAAACCAATTCCTTGTCCTAAATGTGGCTTTGAAACATCACAAACAAAAGATCTTAGTATGTCAAGTAAGTAATGCATATAATACATTTACATTAAATATTAATTTTTCATATCTATATTTAATTAAGAAATTATATTTTTAAAACAATGTTATAAAATTATTTTTCATTTTATTATAGCAAGAAATCATAAATTTGGTAGACAAAATCAAGGTAATACATATGAATATGATAATGAAAGTGGATATAATTATTATGGTAAAGAACTTTATTGTATTTTTAATATTCATTTATTTTTTTAATTTAATTTATTTTATTTTCTTTTACATTATATTATATATTTTATAGGAAATCAATCTCAAAACTGTATTCCTGAAAATTATACTAGTTATCAAGAAAATGAAAGTGAAGATGACAATAATGATGACGACGATGATGATGATGACGACGATGATGATGATGACGACGATGATGACGACGACGATGACGATGATGATGATGAAGATAATGAAAATGACAACGATGATGATGAGTCAATAAGTGAAAATGAACAAAATTGCAATAATAAATTATAATAAATATAATATTAAATTAAAATGTTTAACAAAAATTGAGTTTTGTAATTAAATGTAAGAATGAAAAAATAAATATATTACATTGTTATGTCTTTATAATAATTTATAATTTATATTTATGATAAGAAGACAAAATTAATCAAAGATCTTATTAAAAATAAATATATATATTTTATTTAAGATATATTTTCTTTATAAAAAAAATATCTAAATAATTAAGTTAACTAGAAAATTTAATAGTTCATAGCTATTAAATAACAAATGAAATATTAATGTATTTTATACACATTACTTTTATATATAATAATTAGAAACATTACAAAGTAACAAATATGATATATTATATATGTAAAAATGTATATTATACACGTAATGAAGTATATTCAGATGGAAAGGCAAAAGTATGAGAACCAAATGCATTAACACTTGGCAAAAGTCCAGCATTTGGTATAATATTCCACGATAATATTAATGTTACATTTTTATTTCCCCTAAAATAAGAGGTAATTATTAAGTTATATAAACAAATTGTTTTTTTATTAAATAATTTATAATTATAAAATAATTACCTTAAACCATTACCATCATCCCAGAAATAATATTTTGTGTTCATATTTTTAAAGTCAAGAACAGCATTATCTCCACGAAGTACTATTTTATCCCATAATACTACCTAAAATATAAAAATATCTATAACATATTCAAATCAAATATAATTAAAAACTTAAACTATTTCTATATTAGAATATTTAAGTTATACCTGATTAAAATTGTTATTTTCTGTTTGATATTCTGCCGTGAGATATAAAAATAATTGCTTAACATTCCAATTAAATAAAGGAGTGAGATGTATATTTTTGTAAAGAAATTATATTTTATAATTATAATATATTATTATAAATCTAAAATTTTTATTATTTATTAGATACTATATATATATATTATGAATTATATAACAATAAAATTTAATATTAATAAACAAAATAAAATATTTCAATTAAAAAAAAATATATAGTATTTTTATTAGTTTAAATTAATATTGAAATATGTTATCATTTATTAAGCATGTTTATTATATATATTTTTAACATAAAAAAATATTAAAAAATATAATAAACATATAAATATTCATATTTCTGAATCAAACAATAAAAAGGATATCAGTTTGTAAATCAAATGTTAAATATCCCAAATCATTTTTCTCTCTTGAAGCACTATAATCTGCTACATTTTTTCTGTAAAATAAAAACTTATAATAATTACTAAATAATATTAATTATGATATATACAACATTTTTAATAATTAAAAATAATTTTAAAAAATTTTAATAAATTTTATACTAATAATAATTTTAAAATTTTATTTTTTATATATAATATTTTTTTATAAAAATTAATATTTTTCATAATTATTTTCCATAAAATTATTATATAAAAATAAATTTTATATTATATTATAAAGAATATATAAATTCAACAATGAAAAAATATAACAATATAATATAAAATATAACAAAAAAAAATAACAAACATATTAACAAATATTTTGAAACGAAAAATCATGAATTAACAAATTTATATTTATAACGTTTATTAAATAAATGTATTATACTTACACAACTACTTTTACAGTATTTAAAGTTGCGTTTGCTCTGTAGTCAATAAATACAGTAGAAAGAAAACAACAAAATGTTAAACATGCCGAAACACTCAAAGTATATGCTAAAATAGCATTACCGCGCATAAAAGCAGTATGCATTATTATATTTTATTATCAATAAATAAAATGTCAAAACTTGTACTTAATAAATTTATTAATTAAATTATGCATTAAAAAATTTTAATCAAAATTAATTTCTTCTAAATTTTTTTTTCAACGTCAGCACTTCGACAAGGTGGAATACCGGGTTAGTGTTCGAAAATAAACCGAACATGTAACGCGTTCACAAATAAAGTAAATTTAAATTCAATAATCACAGTTTACTTACATATAGAAATTTATTTGTTGTTTACTTTATATTTATTTGTTGTTTACCTTATAAAAATGTATTTATATTTTTTATAAAATAAAATATTACAAAATTAATGACAAATAAATAATAATTAATAAATTATTATTATCTATTATTTGAATGTTTAAATTAACAAATAAATTAATAAATTAATAAATTTATAAATATTATGAAGAATATTATATAAATTTTATATATAAATTATAAATATATAAATATTTATTTTAAAAAAATTATAAAAAATATTAATTTTTTTAAAAATTAATTGAAATAACTGTTATTTTTATAATAATGAGTATACATATATACATTTAAGTATATATAATATTTAATATTCATATATATATGTGTCTTTCTATTTTGTTACTAAAATATACAAACTTTAATTGATGACATGCTTCTTCTAAATGTACCAATATGAAATAATTTCAGTTCACAATAGGTTATTTTTTTTATCAGCAGCAACTTCAAGGAACATATTAGTATGCAATATAATGTTTATGTGAAATGTGCGGTGAAATTGTTTGAAAAAGAATAAATAATTTATCCTAAGAAATAAGTTGAGTACGTTGGATATGTCGCATTGGAAAGTATGTAAATATTGCTAGAATATTTTTATGATTATTTTTAATTTCAAAATATTTGTTTCATTTAATCGTATATATTTTTAAAATAGATGTTAAACATCTTTTTAAGAAATTTTTCTAAAATGATTTTAATATCATTTATTTCTTAGTTTTACATTAACATAATATATAATTTATTTTTAAAAATTTTTTAAAATTTATGATAATTATAAATAATTATTTAATATTTATATTTTCAAGTCATATATTAATAATATAATTAATATCATAAAAATAATAATTTTCTTATATTTTGTATATATTATGTTTACATTGAATTTTGAGATTTATTATATTTTGAAGAATAATCATATAATTCTGAAATCTTATTATATATATATTGATAACAATGATATGATTCACAAATTATAATTTTAGAAAAAAACAACTTTGAATTATTATATGAAGATTATATAAGATTATATGACATCAAAATGACAAATTAAAAATTCACATTTCGAAAATCATTTATAGTCCTTTATTAAAAAATTCAAGCAATAATGATTTTTTCTTTTAGATTTTAAGTTATAATATGTAATATAAATGATCAAATAATTAAATTATAATATATATTTGTGTTAATATTATTATTATTAATAATAATAAATAATAAATATTATATAATATTCATATTGGTTTTTAATAAAATTTAATAAAATTAATTAAATTTATTATATTTATTTCAGAGTAACAAAGAATGGGTTGTGTCAATAGTCGAACAGATATTAATGATCTACATCCAAATGTTTTTCAAGTGATGAATGTAGATGATTTAGGTAATTTAATTACACCTGGACGTTTAGAAGTTACAGAAACTGATATAGTGCTTTATCAACGTGGTAAACAGCCTATTAAGTGGCCACTACGTTGTTTAAGGCGATATGGTTATGATGCTGAAATTTTTAGTTTTGAATCAGGAAGAAGATGTTCTACAGGTCCAGGCATTTATGCCTTTAAATGCCGTAGAGCTGCACATTTATTTAATCTTGTGCAAACAAATATTCAGGTTTGTTTATAATATAAAATTTTTTTATAATATAAAATATATTATGTTTGTCATGAATTTAAGATAGTCTTTTTTAAAAGTTCTTAATTAAAAAAATTATAAAAAAAATGTAATTTAAAATTTATTATAGGTTTGTAATAATAGTGGAGATGATACAATGTCTAGAGAACTTCCAGTTGCTTCTCATTCTGCTCCAACAGTAACAAGAGTGACAATACCAGTTGAGCCTAATTATTTGGATCCTATATTAAATAGATCTAATAATCATATGGGTCCTAGATTTGTTCATAATCAACAAAATGGAGTTGGAAGACTCGATAGTGTAGGAAGTAGTACTGGTTTTATGTCATCTCAAGGAAACATAAACTCTCCTACATCACCTCCTGTGCTACCACCACCACCACCACCACCACCACCACCACCACCACCACCACCACCACCACCACCACCACCACTACCATCATTTCCTCAATCACATCCGTCCTCACTTTATGTAAATGAAGAAGTATTGTCCTCTCTATCATTAGAAATGGAACATAATAACAACAAAAGCCTTAGAAGAGCAATACAGAAGTAATTAAAAACATGATTATATTATTTATACAATTTATTATTTTATATATTATTTTATATTAATATTATTTTTCATAGGTCTTGTACAGTCAGTAATTCTATATCTGATAATGGATCAGCATCGTTGGAACTAACATCTGTACATAAAAATACAGAAATCACTTCTCAAATTAAATCACCACTTTCAATAGCAACTTATATAAATATAGATATTAATAATGATGTTAGTCTATTATCTCCAACTCATAGTATATCTGAAATAATGCAATTTAAAGAAGACAAAAATGAAAACAATGAATGTGGACATGCTTATATAAATATAAATCCTCAAGAACATGCAGAATCTTTTAATGCTAAACCACGACCTTTACCATTGTCATCTATTCAATCTGATATAGAAGAAGCAACAAGACATTGTTATGCTAATTTAGAATCAAATGAAATTGAAAATTTAAGAAAAAGATTTTCTGGAGTATCTATTGCGGAGAAATCGCCTTTGCCTCCATCAACGCCTACAGGTGGTCCAATTAGAGAAGTAAATTATGCTGTATTAGATTTGGATACAAAAGATGTGCCAATGAATTTACCATTAGATGGTCCTTCAAATTCCACTGCATCTCCTCCAGAATCTCCAAATAAACTACAAAAAGGGTATGCTACAATAGATTTTAATAAAACGGCCGCTCTTTCTCATTCAGTCAACCCAAATATTGTAAATGATAACGAAGGTTCAAGAAAAACACGTCACAATTCTACAATTAGTGATTTAGCAGCCTCTGGTAGGCGTAGTTCGTCTATAAGTGAATAATAAATTTTTTGTTTCCTGACTGTGCCTGCATGTATTGAATATCTGTAGCATTTTATAGAAAGTATAAAATATTTGATTAAATATAAATAATTTAATAATATAAAACCAAAGAAAAAAATATTAAATTAGTTCATATACTTTTCATATAATATTAAACAAAAAAAATTTTAGTATGTAAAAGCATAATTAAAAAATTAAATTTCTCATTTTATTTTATATTTTATTATTCATTTAATAGAATTTAATTTTATACAACATATACAAAAAATATTACAGTATTTTTAAAGAGTAAGTCTTTTTTCATAGTGCTGTTGATATGCACAAAAAAATCTCTTTTATATAATATATAAATATGTTTATAGAATATGTAAGTAATGATTTTCTACATTGACTATTGTAGGAGAATTAGAAGCTAAAATGCCCTAATTTTCCTGAATCATAGGAATTGATGAGGCTCAAATAGACTAATTGAGATAAAAATACATGATATATTGACTACTTTAAAAGTAGTCAATTAAAATTTAATTAATTATGGCCATAATTTGAAGTGATTTTGATAATTCATAGATATTAATAGTAAAACATTATATATATATAGTGTATATATATATACATATATATAATACATATATATAATACAATAAATAATGTACATATAAATAAATATGTACACAAATATAATCTCGTTAGATAAAACTCTTTAGATAAAAATTTTTAAAATACACAATTTTAATAATATAATTATTATGTTCTATTTAGAATTTGATATTTTATAATTATTTGCTTTATAAATTAAATACGTAAATATATTAAAAATATGTTTCTTCAATATAATTAAAAATATATTAATTCATAATAAAAACATATTTAAGATATATATATATATGACATAATAAATTATATATTTTTAGTAGATAGAATAAAATATAATTCTTATGTATTATTTTATTGCAAATAATTGTTTGTTATTATTTAAACATACAAATAATTTATATGAAATTTTTTTTAAACAATGTTTTTATAATTATTCTGAATTTATAAAATTCATTTTATTCATTTCAATTTTATTTTTTTTTTTAAATTATTCATTAGAAACTTAATGTGAATAACTTAATTTTTATGAATTATATGTATTATTTTTTATAATTTTCTCTTTTAAAATTTTCTGATATGTATTTATGTTTTAAATTTATAAAAAAAACTATTTCTTATTAAAAGTATATTTATCATAAGTTAATTATATGTTTTTATAAAAAATACTAATCCTTTTTGGCTAAAAATACTAATCATTTTTTTTATTATGCTCATGCTATATAATTTAATTAATCATTTAGAAATTTATTTAAGAATTTAATTAATCATCAAAATTATGATTATAGTTGTTGTTTTTTAATTAAATTTATTAGTTATGAAACAAAAAGAAAATATTATATATATTTATATATATATATAATATTATATATATTTTATATATTATAGTTATAATATATTTGTTTATACAGAAAATAATATCCATATTTTAAATGTTAATTTTGCATTGCAATTTTATTAGTTTTTTCTATTATAAAACTATTAATATTTAATATAATATATTGTTAAATTTAATATTACAAAAATCATTTTTTTTATATTAACAATAACTAAAAATTATAATATATATAAAAATATATAACATTAATTAAAATGATTTATTTTTTATAAGAATCTTAAAAAATCAATAATTATTAAAAAAAAACTATTCATTGAATATGTCAGTTATTTTTATTTTTGAAAAAATACTGCATGTTACAAATAGTTTTAAATAAATATTATAGTAACATGATATTAAAAATAATAATAATAATAAAAACAGATTTTATATAATTATATTGTTCTTATAATATTGACATATTCACTGCCATAATTTAATATCTGAGAACTAAATATAATTG